TAACTGAGAATGTTCTGTGGCAAATTCATTTTTGTAACATCTTAATATTGGCTTCTTCTCCCATCCCTAGAGTGGGATATCCCCAAGGCTTACTTTTTAGCTTTTCCACCTGGGTGTTTTTATCTTACCTGAAAGATTATTCATGTGTCCAAAATCAAGATAGATCCTTGTCTTGTTAAGGGATTTATTTTCTAAGCTTCCTGGTCTTCTGCATCTAGGAACTCAGACTTGAAGTAGTCACTCAAGACATGTCACATATCACATATCCTATAACCATCAAATCATTTTGTTAACTGCTTCCTCAGAATGTCTTCTGTCTTAGTGATTCCTGTGGCTGCCATCCTAGTCAGTCTCACATAACTAGATACCTGGATGGATTGCATAATTCCTTCAGCAAACATTTATTGAGTGCCTACAGTGTGCTAATATAATAAGCATTGTGATGGGGTAAGAGTATGTAAGAATGAATAATGTAGTCACTGCTCTGGAGGATCCAAAAGTCTAATGAAGGAATCACATAGCTAAATAGATAGTCCATTATAGTTTGGTTAGTGAATGCTATGATAGTCATAAGCCCAGGGCAGTCTTGGGACCACAGAGGAAAGGCATCAGCTATTTATTTGCCTCTCTTGACTCTAGTATTCTCTGCATTCCCGTCCATCCCATATTCATTTTGTCTTCCTTAGTCACTGCTTTCTTCATATCCTTTTTCTGTTGGAAACATGACTGCTCCTTTATCCATCCCCCTTTAGTTTGTCTCTTCTTCCTATCACTTTTTTTATGCTCTGCTTAATGTTCCCACCTTAAGGGGACACTTCTTTTCAATCCAGGCTCCTGGTCCTGCCTCAGAAATATGATGTATTCATTTCCAGTATTGTCTTCTATGAATGGCTTTTCCATTTGCCCTTCCCATTCACTGTCCAAATCCTGGCCGTTTTCTAAGGTTCATTTAGTTCTACCATTGCTTCAAAACCTGTTAAGCTTGTCTGATCATCTACTTATCTCAGCCATATAAGCACTCGATTTATAATATAGCACTGCCTTACATTGCTAGTGTTATTTTTATCTCCTCAAGGAGATTGTAAACTCTTCAAGCATCCCATTATGTGATGCTTTTGTATCCTTCATAGAGCCTAACACAGTGCTGAGCTCAAAACTTAATTGTTGAATTTCAGGAGTATATAAGTAAGGCATTTTTTCCCTCTAACATTAAAAGTTGGTAGATATGAGATATATTCCTTTGATCTACTGGGAAAAGGATGTTTTTAATTGAAAGTTAGAAATGCTTTTTCATTTTGCATAAAAATGTAAAATTGAAACATGGGAGGAAAAAGGAAATATGTTAGCTCACTTCTTTTCAATCAGTTTGTTCTGAATGCCTGATATGCTGGAGGTAATGGAAAAAACACTTGGCATAAAAGACATGGCTCTGTCATTTATATTTTTTTTTTAAAGATTTTATTTATTTATTTGAGACAGAGAGAATGAGATACAGAGAGCATGAGAGGGAGGAGGGTCAGAGGGAGAAGCAGACTCCCCACCGAGCAGGGAGCCCGATGCGGGACTCGATCCCGGGACTCCAGGACCATGACCTGAGCCGAAGGCAGTCGCTTAACCAACTGAGCCACCCAGGCGCCCTGAAACTGGCTCTGTCATTTAATGTGGAGCTCTGAGAAAAGCCCCGAACCTGAGTCTTAGCTTCCTCATCGGTAAAATGGGGTTAATATTACTCAAGGTTATGATGAAGATTACATAAAGTAGTGGATATGGAATGCTTTGTAAACTTCAAAGCAATATATAAGTTTTGCATAATTTTGTTGTGCCCCCATCTTGGATGATAGTTATGAGTCTGTATTTTACAGAAGTATGGATTTCTGTATGGTGCATGATGTGATCCATCAATAGTAAGTTCTCTGATATTTTCAGGTCAGACTGGCTTTCTTGCCTGTCAAGAGGAAACAGACTTCTATCCTAACAAAGTAATGAGTGTGCTATGATAGAGGGCAGCTAGCTGGGACACCTAACCCAGACCTGGAAGTTGTCAGGGCAAGCTTCCTGGAGGAAGTGAAATTATTATCTAAGGTCAGACCTGAAAGATGAGTAAAGGTAGCCAGGGAAAAGTATGAGGGGGAGGGGATAAGGAAATGAGAGAGAGAGGGAGAGAATAGCTCCACTCTGGCTGGCTCTGAAATTGAATCCTATACCATATTTAGATCTGCTAAAGATGGGTGTATGTGATGATTATTATCTCTTTTGGCTGTAACTGTTTCATAGAAATGATCTAGTATCCCTTTATAGTAACAACTGAATAGAATTTATTTGCTGGGGGTGTTAACGTCTCTTCTTTCTTATGTAGCATTAATATATTTTATTTATTAGAACCACAGCAAGAATTAATTTCTTTAGACATTGGTCCATTTTATTCTCTTCAGTCTGCATTTACTCTATAACTACCAATTGCCTCCTTCATGTCTTCTTTGCAAACTATTGAGAACTGGAAAATTGGTTTTGGAGGGGTTTTTGTTTGTTTTTGTCTATAAAAACATTTACTTTTGCATGGCTTCAGATATTTGGAACGTGTTTATAAGGTAATGTGGGGACACCTCATTTTTGCTTAGTTTAGGAAGAATGGAGAGAAATCTCGGGAAATGTTCCTGTTGGGAGTTCCAGAACAGAGAGAGCATCCAGAATGGCACCTGGCACAAAATAGACTTTCAATAGATAGCTGCTGGACAAATGGATGTGCTACATTAGTATAGACAAAACACATTAAGAGAAGGAAAGAAGATGAAAATAAATGGCAAACTGCTAAGTTAGGGTCTATAAGCTGATGATTGGGAAGTAAATTTGTATAAGGAGGCAGAAGCCTAGATGTATAGTTTCACCTACTATGCTTTGCTAAATGAGGCTTTGATATCACATAATTTTATAGTTGTCTATCAGAACTTGGTCAAAACCCTAGTAAGCTTCATTCAGCTAAGTCCCCATAAATGAAAAAATACTCCTACTTATCCCCTGTGAACCATATGGAAGATCTGAGTGATAGTTTACAGAGAGAACTAGATCAGGCCCTGAAAAAAATAGACCTACCCTCAGCTCCACTGAGCTACTGGAAGACTAGGCCAATAGTATTTGGCTCAAAACTTGTGAAAATGCCATTCAAAAACTTGTGGCGAGAATCAGCTTTCATCAGATCACTGCATCATAGCAGTATTCTTCTGCCATAATTGAAGAAGGTCATTAAGGAGAAAGGGCATTATAATTATTACCAGGGTTTTTAACGCCAGTGAATTTGGTTGGTATTGGAAACACATGCTGACTATAACATTTAGTTTTGATTTTTTAAAGTAACTTTCCTGTTTTCTACTTTGTTTTTCTACAAGATCATGGTTTGCCAATAATAGAATTTTTTAGAATTCTAAGTTTCAAAGTTGGCAAAAAATTTCCTATATACGTTAGACTGCTGCCACCTAAAAGAGTCAGAAGAGATGCGTTTGAGAATGTAGGGGAACTTATTTTGGGATATGAAAGAAATGTGTGAACTAAGAACTTTGAGGCTCTGTAGCGATGGTCTTAACACAGTCAAACCTGACTCCCCCCCCCATAAATATTTCTTAATGACCATTGTACTACCTTGAAATTAAATCTATAATAATATAACTCCTCACATACATAACTCCAAAAATAATATAACGCCTTCCCTGCTTATAAGGGAGAAAAATTATCTTTTTAAAGATAATTTATAATGTTTCCGTATGTAAGTGTTTGGTATTGATAACTCCAGTACTGGGAGTGGCCCCTGTGCTGGGTGGTCTGATTTTCCAAAATGAAATGATTTCTAATAAAAAGTGCAATTTCCTTTTTTTATTTACAGGGCCAGATGCAATACTGAAAAATACAGTTTTCTTTAAAACTGTACAAAAACGCTTTCTAATTGTAAAACTGTGGCCAGAATTTCCAGACACCCTCATAAACTTCTGAAATGCCCCTATGGGGCTTTAATGCTTTCTTCCCCACTTTGAGAACCACTGCTATATAGAATCACATAGTGTTCTAGTGTTTTACATTAAGATAGCACTACTGACCAATTAGGGTAAGTATTTCTTATTAATCATTTTATTAGTAGTACTAGGTTTATTTTGAGCCATTTATTTTTTCTCTGTCTGTCCTTTGGGACCAATCAGTGTTTGTGAACCAATTGGTCATTCATAGAGATACTCTTCTTGTGGAATAGCGTTTTACTCCTGATCTGAGTATAGCTAGAATAAAAAATACTGGTGAATATGTGAGAAATAGAAAAGATTTTTTTCTTATTTTTTAATCTCTTTAAAAGGTAATTGGCTGCTTAAGTAAAAAATAGTAACTATATTGTTATTTCTAACAAACTAAAAAATAAAATATATATGACAGTAATAGCACAAAGAATTGATGGAGAAATGGAAGTATATGTTTGCAAGACTCTTAAAATACAAATGAAATGAGATACTATCCCTTGAAGACTAACTGTGATTAAGTTAAAAGATACATATTGTAAATTGTAAAACAACCACTAAAAAAACAATAAAACAAAATTCAAAGAGGCACAGCTAATAAGGCAGTAAAGGAGATAATATGGAATTGTAAGAAATATTCAGTTCAAAGAAATCAGAAAAAGAGGAAAGAAAGGAACAAAGTCATGATCCCTGAAACAAGGTCAGATACATTGTGTGGGCCTTTTCTGAAGAACTCAACATGCTTTTTATTGGAAGTCTTCTACAAGTACTCAGGGTATCTCCCACTTTCCCCACTCCCACACTGTCCTGTTTTACAGCTCCCAGGCTCATTCAGCACCTATCTCTGTTCCTTCTCTTTGGTACTCAGGTGGATTTGACTTTGTCACTAACTTCTATATTTGCCAGTACAAGATGTTGCATAATAAAGATACAGCGGAATGAATTGATTACTGATTTTTCTGTGATGTCTCAACGTACCCTTACCCTTTTCTCTTCCCCTGAATTCAGAGACATGAAAAATGCTGTAATTGGAAACAACAAGCAGAAAGCCAATCTCATTGTTTTAGGAGCTGTTCCAAGGTATGTTTGCTATCAATCCCTTTTCTGATATTCATACTGTTCCTAATATATTTCTCATTCTCATCCATAAGGCCCATCTTTTTTCTGTATTGTCTATCCTATTTTTGAAAGCCTCTTAATTTTTAAAATAAATGCTTTGAGATATATGAAGCATCTCTTTAGAAATTTTTAAGTACCGGAGAATGGAATATAAAGCAAATGTATTAATGCTTTTTGGAAATTCAGGGGAAGATCATTAACCCTGCAATAAAAGGATGTGTTGGGTAGATAGATGATATACACCAGCCTGATTCTTTATTTCCTCAGAGCCTTGGCCGGTTTTTTTGTTTTTTGGTTTTTTTTAAAGATTTTATTTATCAGAGAGAGAGATAGAGCGCACGTGCGTGCACAAGCAGGGGGAGTGGCAGGCAGAGGGAGAAGCAGGCTACCCGCTAAGCAAGGAGCCCGATGCTGGACTCGATCCCAGGACATTGGGATCATGACCTGAGCCGAAGGCAGACGCTTAACCGACTGAGCCACCCGGACGTCCCACCTTGGCAGTTTTGTATGATTGAATAATAATTTCTTAGGAATCTCAAAACCTTTTTTAATTAAAAAAAAAAAATCCTGCTAGATTTTTAATCCGGCTTTTCTTTTTTTAATTTCTAATTTTTAGAATTTGCTGTTTTTTAACTTAGAAATTTTGGTCTTTTTTCTGATGAACTGAATTTCTTTCTGGTAGACGATGATAGTTGTATAACTTTCTCTTTGCTACTCAGAACTAAGTTTTATGTGCAGTTGCTATAAGTTTTTTAATGTTTTGGTTTTTCTTTTTCTTCATTTCTGTCTTTTGATACAGGATTGATGGTTTTATTGTTTTTATCGTAACTGATCTTAAATATATACTTTGGTAACCATAAAGCTCTCAGTAGCCTTTCTTAGGGGATTAGTGTTCAGTGTATATAAATGTACTTTAAGGAGCATGAGTGTTCTACCTTAAAACATAAAGGAGGTGGTCATAAGTGGTGGATGATTAGAGTTTGGGGAGTAGTTGCTCAGTAGGCAGGGCTGGAGTGGAAATGGGAGGATCTCCTGATTCCCCAAATGGGAAAATTGGAGAAAGATGAGTTTCCCTTGCTTGAAGAGCTGCACAAGGATTCTGAATGTTCCCTCTAGGCTAAACGTCTGTGATCTCTGAACCGTACCTCTGGATAGTGCAGGTCCCTTTCTAGTCTAAATTTAAGATCCGACAGTACTTGGCATTGAATGTTCTGAGTCTTGATATCCTGGAGTGGCAGATAACATGGACTGTGGTGCTGTTTTGTTACTTGTGGACAACTTCCAGAATAATAGTTCTGATAAACTCTAAGATTATACATAATAGTCCTTTTGCTCAAAATGAAGAAAGTCTCTTTTGATTTTTTTTTACCCAAATATTCCTTTTTTAAATTAGTAGCTGATATAAACAAATGATCATTTCCTAACTTTCTATTAGCTCACCAACCATATTTTTAGTGGGATATATTGGTAGCATTTTTCTGTCACATTACTTTTAGCTAATTTACTTTTGTTTAATTGTTTTGTCTCCTCTGTTTATCAAATTCCTTCTTTTTAGATTGTTGTACTTGCTTCAGCAAGAAACCTCAAGTATAGAGCTGAAAACTGAATGTGCAGTGGTATTGGGAAGTCTTGCTATGGGTACTGAAAACAATGTCAAGTCTCTTCTAGATTGCCATATTATCCCTGCCTTACTGCAAGGTATGTAAGGAAGTCATTTTTGTACAAGTAAAAATTAGAATCAGTTTGTAGTGTTTAAAATACGGACTGAAAGGATGAGTCTCAGGTCCATTTTCTATTAATAGGACTACTATCTCCAGACCTGAAGTTCATCGAAGCTTGTCTCCGATGCCTGCGCACCATCTTCACCAGTCCCGTCACTCCAGAGGAGCTACTGTATACAGTGAGTTTTAGAAGTTTTTGAATCATCGGTTACATTTCACTAACAGCATACCTCTACTTTACTCAGCATCTCAAAACTCATCATAACTGTGTTACAGAGAAGTCTCAAGAAGTATTTCAGTTCTAGCATGCTAATTTGCAAATATCAAGTGTTCTAGGTATTATAAAGAAGTGAAAGATAGTATCAGACCTTGAGGAATTTATAAGCTGTTTAAAAAAAAAAAAAGACCCATGGGGCGCCTGGGTGGCTCAGTTGTTAAACGTCTGCTTTCGGCTCAGGTTATGATCCCAGGGTCCTGGGATCGAGCCCCGCATCGGGCTCCCTGCTCAGCGGGAAGCCTGCTTCTCCCTCTCTCACTCCCCCTGCTTGTGTTCCCTCTCTCACTCTGTCTCTCTCTGTCAAATAAATAAATAAAATCGTCAAAAAAAATTTTTAAAAAGACCCATTTTGATCTCTTAATATCAAATTAAGGCAGTATATTTAATGTACTCACTTTAGGTTAAATCCAGCAGAGTAGGCTTTACAGAGAATTTGACCTGGATCTTAAATAATGGATAACATTTAGAGAAGTGGAGAGGAAAGAGGCCATTCTAAGAAAGATCTGTGTAAGAGAAAGGATGCAGGACAGTGGGCAGAATAGGCTAATGGGGGAAGGGCATCAGTGTTTGTTTCAACAGAAAAAGTGAACCAGAAATGGCTTGCAGGAGGCTTACTTGCCAGGCTAGAATCCGAGAATATGTGTGAGAGAATCCAGAGATCTTTGGAGTCATTCAGTAGTTTTAAAAAACCTTAGGGATTACTAGCGGGCCTTTTAATCTATTGATTACATGGGACTATCTTAATGAACATTATCCAGGCCAGTGTTTTTCAAACTCTCTCATCTGCAGTCCATGATAAGAAATACATTTTCCATTGCCACACAGTGTGTATGTGTGTGTGTGTGTGTGTGTGTAAGAATATTCCTGAGACAGTCTTCAAAAACAGTTCCACAAATGTGATACCCTCTGGTTACTAGTCTATCCTTCCTTTCTCATTTTTAGAAAAATGGCTGGTTGTGAGCCAACACAAAGAATCACAGTGTCAGATAGGACATATATAAGTCAGAGATCTTATCTAGAATCACATTTTACAAATATTTCAAGAGCATAAGCAATCAGGAGGCATAGGCAGTGGAAGCGGGGATGGGGGCATATCATGAGTCTCCACAGTCCATCCTCCCCACATCAGATACATGCCCCTCTGGCCCATAATGGTACATTAAGTCTGTAAGTGAGGTTCATGGGTCACTTTACACAGCAGGGAGGCTCTAAATTATGAAACATCTCAATTTTACACCTCAGGGATTTGTGCAGGGAGCGATGCCATATAAATTGGTATTGTTCACTACAACAGTTCTCAGAATTGAGCATGGACCACGATTAGCTGGACGGTTTATTAAGCACAGATTGCTGGAGCCTCCTGCCAGACTTTTTGAGTCAGTGAGTCTGGGGTAGGGCCTGAGAATTTGCTTTTCTAACAAGTTTCCAGGTAACTCAGAGGCTACTGGTCCATGGACCGCTCTGTGAGGACCACTGGTTTACTGTAAGCAGTCCTAAATTGGGGACATCCTCCTCAAAGCTTTATACAGAGAAGGACTCTCCTCCTAGTAAGTATCAGTCTGTTTCTCTGAAAGTCCTATCGTGATGTTTACAAAGAGATTAAACCAATCACCTGTCTTTAACCTAGAAGTTACTCTCCAACCCCTAGCCCAGTAAGTGAGAAATTGCTCCTGGCCAACAGTTTTAACTCCTTTCTCCTTGCTTTCCAAAATGATTTTATGGCCCACTAATGGTTCACGGTACATAATTTTGAAAACTAGTCTACACCAACTTAACTTTTTTACGTAAGAAAATTTAAGACCCAGGGACATTAAGTGACTTTCACAGTGACAATGTCTGTTTTATGCCTCAGAGACAATGGTGACTCTGTGAAGAATGTTGGATGGGATGATGACAGAGAGTAGTGTTTTAGTGTAATTAACTGCCGTCTGTGAGTTGGACTGTATAGAGCCAGCTGGCACAGCAACTTAGGCACTAAACTGAAAACAGGGCAGTCCACTTACAAGAAGGTAGGATGTCTAGTTTGAAATCCTATTTATCAGTTGGGTGACTTTGGGCAAATTATGTAACTGTTCTTTGCTTTGTTTAATCAACTATAAATTGTAGATCTATAAGACAATTGGCAGAAAGGGGCAGGTGTGAAGAAATGGGATGAAGCTGTTATTACAGGAAAACTGAGAGGTGAGAGAGCAATGGAGGAAAGAAAGGAGGTGGAAGTAATTGCAGGAGGTTAATAGAAGCTTTCATATCATCCTTCAATTACCTGTTCTTTCTTAGCTGCTACCTGCTTCCCTGTCTTCTGCCAATGGAATCAGTTTCCCCTCCCCACTCTATGAAATAGACATGCACTTGACACTCTCATCTCTCTTTTCTTTCTATACATTTAGTACCTGACTTTATTTGGGGTTTTCTAAATTTTTCATTTTGTTTTTAAACTGCTTGTGATAACACAAAGGGTTATACTAATAAGCAAAGGGAAAGATTCTACTTAGAGGGAATCAACTGCCTTCTGTTTTCTCACTTAGCTCTTAAAGATTTTGGGCATTCTTTTCTTTGTAAGGGAAACCCCAAATCTTGTTCATCCCAACAGTGGTACTCTTAAGTTTCCTTCCTTGCCCTCTTTTGTCTTTTGTCAAAGTGTGGTCTATGGACCAGCAGCATCAGCCTTATCTGGGAGCTTAGATCTTACTCCAAACCTATAGAAATCAGACTATCCCCTGGGAATTTGCATGCACATTCATATTTGAGAAGTATAACTCTAGGACTATGACAGCATTGACTAGGAGGCTTGAGCTAAGTCTTCCTTTTCCATCTGTGGTTCAGATCAACTTTTAATTCCCTTTGTACCCTAAGAAGGGGATTCTTGGAGAGCCCTGCAGCAAATTGGGCAGATTCTCCTCTCTCCTACTGCACCAACTTGTATATTGCTAAGTTTCAGCAATAGGCAGAGAACGTGCTCTAAGTGAGTTGATATTTTGCAAATTATCTTGTGAAAATTGAAATTAGCTAACTACAGTCTTATGATTCTTATGAGTAACTGATACTTACCACAACATCTCAGATATCAAAACTGTCAAGTTTTATTTTTATACAGTAATTCCTCCTTATAGGCTGTTATTATATATCTTATCAGGTCACATTTCGTGTCACAACAGATTTCTGTCAAGTCTTTTGAAATGATTTTGTCTTATTGTGGGGATATAGGCTGTTTATGAGAGAGAGATTGAGAATTTCTCATTCTGGTATTTTGTTGTTGAGGATGAATATTGAAGCCCCTCGTCCTTTACCTAAACAATTTTGGTGACTCTCTTGTTTTTGTTTTGCTGTGTTCTTTAAAGAGACTTGATTTACTGTGATTAAGTTAAGAAGCTTGCGTATGTACCTCCTCATGGAAATAGTTTGTTAGATGTATTCACAGTGCCTAAGTTCCTTGTTGCTGTGCTCTCTTTTCCTTCGACTCCAGGATGCCACAGTGATACCACACCTCATGGCACTACTTAGCAGGTCCCGCTACACCCAGGAGTACATCTGTCAGATCTTCTCACACTGCTGTAAAGTAAGAACCAGAATAAATGTTCTCCGTAATGTAAAATCTTCTGTGCCCCCAGGAGATGTGCCTTCTTTGTGTGTCCTCCCAGAGAAAACCTGTACATATATAATTATGCAGACCTATGTATATTCTCCCCCCTCCCCTGTTTTTATATATAAGCAGACCTATGTATATATCCCCTTCTCCTTTTTGGACACAAATGGTAGCATTCCATACATTAAGTCCTGTACCTTGCATTTTTCATTTAACATATCTTGAAAGCTATTCCATATTAGTACATAAGGAGTTCCCTCTTTTTTTTTTTTTTTCAACAGCCGTATAGTATTTTACTATATAGATACACAATAATTTGTTTAACCAGTTCTCTACTGTTGGACATTTGCCTTGTTTCCAGTCTCACATTATTACAAAACAATGCTGCAAAAATACCTTGTGTAAGACATTTTATAAGAAATGACATTGCTGAGTCAAAGAATGTGTGCATTTGTAATCTTACCACCTACTGTCTTGTATAGAGGTTGTGCCCTTTTATACTCCTACCAGCAGTGTGTGATCAAAACTATTTCCCCACACCCTCATTGTTGGAAATTGTTTTAAGTGATCTCCTATAAGGAAAAATGAGAGATTCTTCTCTGCTCTTTGTTGAGAGAAATTTCTGTTCCTAAAAGGGCCTCAACCTAAACTGAAGAGTGCTGCAAAGTGCTACGTCCTGTTTCATAGTTTACATACTGAGTGTAGTCTTTTGATAGCCGTGGGTGATTATGTATTTGAGATCTTTCAAAATTTCTGCACATTTGCCAATTTCTAACCAAATGTTTATCTTCTAATGATTCTATAAATTTTTCAGGACAGCATTACTCATCTACCTATATTTATAATACAAAGATAAACTGAAGAGTTTGGGGAACTATAGAAAATAAAGGAAAGAGAAGTGAACACCTACATATGAAACCAGGAAGATCACACATGTATGCTATTTTAGAACAGTTGCCCAAATAAATGAAAATTAAATCACTTGGTTCCAGAAAAAGTATTATTATAATTTAATTGTTTAACTCTTACCTCCCAAATCCTAGCAGGCTTTCACAGCCTATTCAGTCCATTAAGACGTTTAGAATTTAAGAATTTTGTCAAAAATCTTTGAAGTTTCTCTTCCCAGATTGCCTTGACCGTGTGCAAGTCAACTCATAGGTCCAGGGATGTCAAACACTCCCTTAATCTTTTGAAGTGGGCAAAGAAAGGCTTTGAGAAACTGACAATTTTGTTGCAATTCATTTGCTAAAAATGAGCTGAACTTAATAGGGTGTAGAATTTTCCAACAGTGAAGTCTTGTAACCCAGCCCTGGCAGGTAGATAAAGGAGAATACTCCAGAACTCCTGTGCCTCATTAAAAATCTTTCTGCGTCTATACCTAAGTGCTTCAGAGCACAACATCTAATAGTTACAACCACAGTAATCCCAAAGGGACACTGAAAATTGGACCTGGAGGTATAATTACTACATGTCAAATTATTATGTTACATTATGAGCAGTTTGAATAATCCCATTCCAGAAGTTACCCAAATAGCTTTTAGAATTACTCATCAGAAACTTCTAAATCCCTTTAGGCTTGCTCATCTAAAACTTCTCAGTACTTTTTAGCTGAAATCATGGATAAAAGAAAACCATTAAATCATTAGTTCAAAAGAACTAATGGAGAGAATCTTATGCTGAGCAAGAATTTATAGGCATCTTCATGCCACTAACAGAGCTGAAGATGTTATCAGAGAAAATCACCTTAACTCAGATTTCTTTTAGCCTGGTAATTAGCATTTGCCACTGTAATTAAATGACCAATTTTAAGTGTTCTGAGATATAACTAAACGTTAGGAAATATTATAGCATTTATAAAACCAGTGACAATAGCCTAATGTTAATTTTTCTACTAATTTACCAGCATGAATCTTTGAAAACAACTAATCTGATGATCTCTGTATAGTTATTAACCATAAAAACCTTTTATTTTCATGCTGTTCAATTTGCATATAGGCTTAAAATAAGATTTATAATAGAATTTTCAGACTCATTCACAACTTTGCATATACATTTGACCCTTGGACAAGGCGAGGGGCAAGGTGCCAGACCCTGCTCAGTCAAAAATAGGCATATACCTTTTGACTCCCCTAAAACTTAAGTACTAATATAATCCTAATTATATCTTTGAAATTCTCTCCCTGATTTATTAAGGAGAAAAAAAAAAAAAAAGACTAGTAATATTAAATTGTTGCCACTTCTTAAACAGGTTACTCAAACTTCTGAGACCTGTCTTTTGGAGTTTAAAATCTTGAGGGCTTATTTGCTTCCCACCCTATGGATGTTGCCTCTCTAGCCCAGGTCCATGTGGGTTTATTTGAAGAGACCTAAGGGAGACTTGATAAGAATCAAATGATAGCTCCTTCTCTAGTTGGTTCAGCCAACAATTCCATTCCTTGCAATTGTTTTTACACAATCCTGTGTACAACCACAGAGAGGATGAGGAAGAGCTTCTTTTGTAATAATTATTTCCTGTAATCTCTGGGGCAAAGAAATTGAGAGATTAAAAACTACAATATCTTGTAAGAGGCAGGGAACAGTTATGTTAAATGAATTGCATTGTGCTTGATCTTTTTCATAATATAAGTTCATCAGTACAGATATTCCATAAGTGATCTAGCTCTTAAAGATGCATGCACATGGATATTTATTGAAGTGATGTTTGTAATAGTAAAAGATTATAAACAATCTAAATGTCTAACCATAGGGTACTAAAGTATGGGTTATCCATACAGCGGAATAAGGTCAAAAAAGAAATAAGAAAGCTCTTTATGTACGCATATGAATGATTTCTGGGAAATAGTATAAAGGAATAAAAGGTTTGAAGCAATATGTATAGTATATATAGCACATATATGTAGTATTCTACCATTTGTGTTAAAATAGGGGAAAGGATATACTTAGGTATTTGTATATGTATGTAAGGCTTGAAGAATATAAAACAATCTATTAGTATTAGGTCACTTCAAAGCAGAGGAACAGAGAGAAATACAGAGACAGAAGAGCCGTGAGGTGCAAGGGTAGAGGGTGTACCCTGTCTACTTAGCTATTCTCGTAAACACTGCCAATATTTAAATTAGGATGTTAAAATTTATATGGAAGGCAAAAAAAAAACACCTTAGTATGTCAGCCTAGTGTAATTTAGGCTTATCTTCACAATTTATTCTAATTACCTACTTGATACTACGTAAGAAAAAAAATAGGTCATATTCTTAGGAGACCCTTCTTTTCCTGGGCTCCCCATTATAGTCTCCACAACTATCTTTATATTGAATAAGCTGGAGACTCATGCTTCAAATGAGACGATTCAAGTAAAGCATTTAGAGCAGTGCCCAGCACATAGCAAGTACCCAATAATTAGTACCTATGATTAGAATTCCAGATGCATGGATGAAGATGAGGTAGGAAGATAAAGAGCATACTTCCAGCCTGTGCCCTGAGAATGTCAGTATCTTTAGTTGTTCTGAAAGCAAGCCTGCATTATTCTGGGTGGATATGTAGGGATAAATATATCAAGCAGTGTATGCAAGAAATTTATCCTCATACTCTAAGAGTTTGCACTGAGATGGGGCTGGCTTTACTAATGTTCAACAGAACATTGTTTTTAATAGTGAGACATTAGAAACTGCCTAATATACGTAATGGGGGTTTGCCTGAGTAAAGTGTGGAATATTTTGCATCAAAAATCAGAAATTAGGGGCGCCTGGGTGTCTCAGTCGTTAAGCGTCTGCCTTCAGCTCAGGTCATGATCCCAGGGTCCTGGGATCGAGCCCCACATTGGGCTCCCTGCTCCGCGGGAAGCCTGCTTCTCCCTCTCCCACTCCCCCTGCTTGTGTTCCCTCTCACGCTGTCTCTCTCTATCAATTAAATAAATAAAATCTTAAAAAATCAGAAATTAGAAGTTAGTAAGGAAATTGCTGAAGTGTTTTTGTTTTTTAAAGGAGCCTTTTAATGCTATATAAAATGTTCAGGGAATTACTACCTATAAAATAGAATATAGCTGTTTTCTGATTCAGAACTATGAATACTGATCTCCCCACTTCAGATGATGGATATTTTGGCCCAGGAAAGAATGAGCATCTTCAGGATCATTGTTACTTGGCTGAATAGTGGGTTGGAAAAATTGATTGGAGAGGGTTTTTTTTCTAGACTAGCAACTGGTTTTCTCTGGTGAACCCAGATAGGTAGCCAACTTTCAGTGCTGTGTTTTTCTCTTCTGAATAATGATAAGCATGAAGTAGCATCTTTATCCTTGCTTTGACTTCATTATGTGGGCGGGTAGTACATAAAATCATTGCGTAAGAGGGGCACCTGGCTGGCTCAGTTGGTAGAACATTCGACTCTTGATCTTGGAGTTGTAAGTTCAAGCCCCATAATGGGTTATAGAGATTACTTAAAAATTGAAAAATATTTTTAAAAAATCAATGCATACAAACTGGCAATTTCGAAGACTTGCATTAACCTTTAGCTTCTGTCACTTTGAAGATTTCAATAAATTGCTTAGTAGAAGACAGTTGGTGAAAAATAAAATCGTGAATTTTCTCATTTCTTTACCTTCCTACTCTAAGAAATGGTAATTTAAGAAGAGAAACGAGATAGAAACAGAAACCAAAACACATTCACTTCTCTGTATGGAGTGTTGTGTTTTCCACCATCCATAATTCAAACTTCCCTGATGTATTGAGGTAGGTTAAGCTCTGGTCCAGTTCTTCTTGCATTTAATTAGTTTTAGAGTTCCTCTGACTAGTTCATCAGTCTAAAGTTGCAAGAATGACTACTACTCTCTCCAGTGGCATAGTGTAAGGTTGTGCACATGAAATGCAGAATTCACAGTGGTTCTGTTGCTGTGATGGTGTGTTATTTAAGAACTGCAAAGGGCCTGTGCCAGGATAGCTTCTGTGCCTCCTTCATTATTTGGGGGTAGGTAAGGAAGCAGTAGTTCTACAGAACTGGGATGACATAAGAAATGGCAGCCCTTTGTCTACCCTGCTTTATTAGGAAGGATTTGTGCAAGAGAAGGGCAGCTGACAATTTGTAGTAAATGAACTTTTCTACATTTAAGTAAGTGTTTTGTTGGAATCAATCATTACTCTTTTTAATGTTATATTCTCTTTTCTTACAGGGTCCAGATCATCAAACAATTTTATTTAACCATGGTGCAGTTCAGAATATTGCTCACCTACTAACCTCAGTATCTTACAAAGTAAGATGTTAAAAATTGTGGCCAGATTTTTGTACTTTAGTTTTGGTTTCTAGAGTCTTGAACTAGATGGAGGCCCACATATTTTATTGCTTTGATAGATATTGGGATCAAGAATAACATTTTATCAATAAAATGTTATGGGGCATTGTTTTACCTATAGAATCCTCTTTAAAAATTTTTAAAAGCTACCCTTGCCTTTTCATTTTTTTTTTTTTCAGAATATGATTGTGGCTTGATTTATTATTGATTTTCAGTCTCTTCTGCTCTCATGTCAGTGCGAAAGCTGCACATGAGGTGATGCCTTGAAGTATGTAGGAACAATGGCTTGCTATATCAGGAAATACCTTGATTTCATATTTGAGACCTGACTTAGCCACAGTGACTCAAACTTAGAGCATATACCCACATATACATCAACATTTAAAATGTGTTACAAGGGTGCCTCGGTGGCTCAGTCGGTTAGGCGACTGCCTTTGGCTAAGGTCATGATCCTGGAGTCTCGGGATAGAGTCCCGCATTGGGCTCCTTGCTCAGTGGGGGGTCTGCTGCTCCCTCTGCCCTCCACCCTGCTCTTGCTCACTCTCTCTCTCAAATAAATAAAATCTTTAAAAAAAAAATGTGTTATGTATTTCAAAATGTGAAGTCTCATAAAAACTTAGATTTTTGTCTGATGCTTTGTTTTTTAATGTGTTCTGTTTTGTATTTTGATTAAAAAGTCAAAGGTTTTCAGACTTGTTAATTAAATTTCCTTCACTGTATTTTATATATGGGTAAACAGCATCATGATATTTTATCAAGCATTAAGTTAAAAATTTGGTCATTTCATTGTTGTCCAACTAGCAAGTTATAGCAGATAATGGGGCATTGTCATTGTGTCACATTAGAGCTGGTATGCCATGACTTTGACGCAGAGCAGAGAGAGCAGTAGTCATTTTTGTCTTCTGTCCTCGTGCGTGCACTGATTCTAATCTGGTCTGTATTGCAGCTTGCCAATACCTATGTTTTCCTACTTCAGACATCCAAAGTTTGATCTTGGTGAAGCACCCACAAGGATAGGAATGGGGAATGGAGCCAGCTTGAACTTAGCCAGAGGGAGGGAAAGGAAATATATACTGAGAGCTGCTTTCTCTACCCTGTGCCTCATGGAGGCTGAAACCAGTCAGCACTGGCACATCAAGAAACAATTGCTGGGGTGGCTATTTACTGTTCTTCCTCTTCTCCATCCTCTAGCTTCATAAACTCCCTCAGTTCTCCCTCTTTTTGTTTTGTTTTCTTTTCTGCACCAAGCTTCCTTATATACTATAATAGATTACAGGTTGTGAAAGGAAAAAGGTTTTGGTAACATTTTTCTTTTGCCAAGGTTTGCTCCATTGTCCCAAGTATCATTGGCATATTTTAGGTCCCGTATTTTAGGTGTGCACATGCTGTGCTGCAGATCATTGCTGAGATGAGGGACAGGGCTTCTTCACACTTCAGCTACCTATCCTGCCAATCTCAAATTCCACATAAGAACATCATATTGTAGACGCAGGCTTGGAAGTGAGGATTAGATTGTCTGGTGAGAACTGAACAGAAAGAATGAAAAATAACAGTTCTCATAGGAGCTCCTGCAAATTGTAAAATATATTGTATGTGGTCAAGGGTTTGACCCGTGTTATGGTCCCAGACCAGTAATCTGGTTTTGAGGAATAGTAGCACAATTCGTAAGTGGTTTTTTTTGTCGTTGTTATTGTTGGTTTTTTTAATTTAAATTCAATTAGCCAACGAATAGTACATCATTAGTTTTTGGTATAGTGTTCAGTGATTCATTAGTTGTGAATAACACCCAGTGCTTTAAAAGTTACATCAGGGGGTGCCTAGGTGGCACAGTTGGTCAAAGCATCTGACTCTTGGTTTCGGCTCGGGTTGTGGTTTCGGGGTCATGGGATCAAGCCCTCCATCAGGCTCTGCGCTCAGCGTAGAGTTTGCTTGGGGCTCTCTATCCCTCTCCCTCTGATCCTCCCTCCTCTCTCTTTCTCAAATAAATCTTTTTTTTTTTTAAAGATTTTATTTATTTATTTGAGACAGAGAGAATGAGA